CAAACCTAGAGGTGGACAGAAGCCCCCGAATCATGAAACTAGGACCAAAAGAACGCTCTAAACTCCCAGATTCAGAGCATATCAAAGATAGTCACTCTGATCCCAAAATTAGAGTTAAAAAGGTAGAAAGAAACAGGAAACGAAACACAGTTTAACCCCAGAAATGGAGCCATTTCTGGCTCTGACTGGAAACCAGTCAATCCCTGAGCAGGGAAAACATACCAATCAGAGCCTCAGGCAGCAGGCAGTTGGGAATTCCCGATGCCTAGAAAGCCCACTTACATAATCAAAGAACAGCCAATCTCCAATCCTGGATCAGGGTCCCTACATCAACATCTGGGAAGACCTGCTTGTGGGCCTTCTGTCTTGGCAAAAGCCACTGCTCACCACCAGTCTCAGAGGATCCCCAAAAGTATTTGCCTTGATGCCATGAACACCTTCAAAGATCCCAAGTCCTCAGACCCCCAATGCTCTAAATGCCACAGGGGAGGAGGTGGTAATCCTAGTTTTTGTTAATCAAGCAGCAGTAGATATTAGAAGGAGGCTCCAAAAGATAGATGGCCTAACCAGCAAATCAATAAATGTGTTGCTTGAGGTAGCAAACAAGGTATAAAATGGAGACTCCTGAAGACAGACTATCTAGATTAAAGATGGAAGAAAATAGAAGACAGGAAACAGCTACAGCAGCAGAAAGGGAGAAGTCTAGAAGAGCAAGAGTGGCTGCAGATGAAAGGCAAGCTCGCAGTGTGGTCCAAAGGCCGCTGGCTGCATTAGCTGCAAAACCATAGGAGAGGCCCGGATAGGGTAGGGCCCCCGAGAGAACAACAAGAAGTTAGAAAAAGATAGGGGCAACTGTTGTCGGGAAAATGAACAATAGGCCAGGGAACATCCTAGAAAAAGGAACCACAAGAAGCCCTGTTGTGTTCTGGCAGCTGATGTGGGAAGAGAAAGTGTTGTCTAAGGATGTAAAAGTTAAGAGAGTTTTGAGAACGGATCATGTAGGGAAATTTTGAGGGTTTGAGAAAGTGTTACGTTTTGAAGGTACAGTTGAGATTGAAAGGATCACCATATTGGCTACAGATGGCTGGCAGTTATTGCAAGGAAAGTTAAGTATCATAAAGGTTTGAGAACAAGAGAGCTTAAGCAAACACGGAGGAGAAGTTAAGTTCTAAGGGTCTGCATCTCCAGGATGCAGAAGCTTAAGTAAGTGATGAAGGTGTAAGAAAGTAAATTAGGGTAATGAAACATGTTTTATGAAAGGGTAAAGGTGTTAACAGTTCATCTCCTAAGGTATTATCTACAGAATTAACAGTGACTTTCCAAAAGACAAGTGTTCCTGAAGCTCTGCAAATCGGGTTGCTCATTACAGTGTACTCTCCTGTGAGTCTATCTAGTGGTCTGTCACTGTACTTTTCTGCATAGTACTTGTGGCTCCCATCACCTGCTTTAACTGTTCAAACCCTAAAGTAGCTTAAAACTTAAATTAAAATTAACAAAATATCATGTGTCCATCAGGATGATGGTAGAAACAGCAAAAATCCATTGGGACATATTGTGTCTCTGCCACTGTGTGCAGACCCCAAAATGACAACGGTTACAGCTGTACATGTCCACAAATATCAACCACAGTTGGCTGTTTTCATTAGGTAAACTTTCTTTATACTGATAAACTTTTAAAAGTTTTTACTTCTCTGCTTTTAACATCATTCTCTGTCGTTACCTGGAGGTTGTTATGTAGATGTGGAATCTCTTGTGTTGTACCCATCTATTTTTTGGATGACAATTGGTGTTGTCATTTGGAGGTCTATTTATACAGCCATATTATTCAACTTCTTGGGTGGAATATCCCGGTAAAATATAGAAGACACGATCTCACAGTAGACAAGAGGTCTTCTGGCCCTTCCGATATTTCCTATTCTGTTCTGAGATGTTCCCTGACCCTCAAACAAAGGTGTTATGTTATATGTAAATCAGGTAGGACTGGACACCCCCATATTGTCTGTCTTAGTCAAAGTTTTATTGCTGTAAAGAGACACCAAGATCATGGCAGCTTTTATTAAAGAAAACAATTGGGGATTACTTAGAGTTTCCAAAGCTTAGTCCATTATCATCATGGGCAAAAAATGTGGTGACATTCCTATACATACTACTATGGGCAAAAAATAGGGGACATTCCTATACATACCACCAAGTACTTACACATGTGAGTCTACAATGGGGGACATTCCTATACATACCAAGCACTCACACATGTGAGTCTATGGGGGACATTCCTATATATACCAAGCACTCACACATGTGAGTCTACGGGGGACATTCCTATACATACCAAGCACTCACACATGTGAGTCTATGGGGAACATTCCTATATATACCAAGCACTCACACATGTGAATCTACAATGGGGGACATTCCTATACATACCAAGCACTCACACATGTGAGTCTATGGGGGACATTCCTATATTTACCAAGCACTCACACATGTGAGTCTACAATGGGGGACATTCCTATACATACCAAGCACTCACACATGTGAGTCTATGGGGGACATTCCTATATTTACCAAGCACTCACACATGTGAGTCTACAATGGGGGACATTCCTATACAAATCACCAAGCACCTATTGTTTGCTGCATTTGGATTCGTTTTGGATTTTTTGGTGGCCCCTGTGCAAAAACTAAAACTTTAATGTAGGGCTAGAGCTATGCTTATCTGTGGGAATAAGAATTTATATTTAGAATGAACCTAGAATTTCAACTGGTTTAGGAAAGTGGTCATTATGGTTTCTCCTCTGGGATCTATAGAATAAATCACTATCAATGTATAGTTGATTGCATTCCAAGACCAGTCATAATTTCCCCCCTTCTGAGGAGCCTCAAGTCCAATTGGACAGTTTTTTATTACCTCCAAGAGATAGCTGTCACTCTTGCACATCTGGCCATATTGGCCATTGATGACACTTGTGGGAATTACAACTAGGTAGCACAATTAATTGTTTTTTTTTCTGTTGCTACTTTGCATCAAATCTTCAAATTCTATAAGGTCTAGTCCTCAGAGAAGAGGTTTCTGAATCAGATCAGCATGCACGGGTTGACACCAGGTCCTCTGTAAGTGTATTATAGCTATTGGCTTAGTATTTTTAGAAGACTCCTGATTCTGAGAACAAGTGGGTCTCTGACTCTTGTGTCTTCTCATAGCACTCTTTTGCTAGTGTTGGAGGGTTCAACATCAATAGGATAGTTTTCGTTTTGTCTTACTATATTTTATTTTGTCATGTTTTGTTATTATCTCTTAGAGGCGTATTCTTCTCTAATGGGAGAAACAAGGGAGTGGGTCCTTATGGTAGGGGATGTGAGGAGGAACTGGGAAGTTTTGAGAGAGTGGAAACTATAAACAGTATATTTTGTATGAAAAAAATCTATCCTCAATAAAAAGAAAAGAGTTCATTCTTCAAAGTGATTAATGGCATTGACAACCTTGAATTAGATTAACATTATTTTTAAAAGAATAACTTTATTAACACCAGAAGCGAAATCTGAGAACTTGCTGTCCATTTTTCAGATTACTACAATTTCCATGACTACTCAACAGGTATTAGGGGTAATTGACTTACATGAAACACACAAATACCTAGAAGCCCAGAACCTACAGAGATGAAGGAACACAAAATATGAGTTAACTTCCATGAATAACACCTAAAACTAAATCAATGAAGACATTTGACAAAAGTGAAAATTTTTTTTAAATATTTATTTATTATGTATACAATGTTCTGTCTGCATCTATGCCTGCAGGCCAGAAGAGGGCACCAGATCTCATTACAGATGGTTGTGAGCCACGATGTGGTTGCTGGGAATTGAACTCAGGACTTTTGGAAGAGCAGGCAATGCTCTTAACCACTGAGGCATCTCTCCAGCCCCAAGTGAAAATTTTTTTAATGATGAAAACAGACAGATCAGGTGTAGAGGAGAGGCCAGTGTATTAGGGGCACAGGTAAAAAGCCACTGCCAGCTCAGTACTCAGTAGAGACACTGACAGGTTTCCCTCTAACAACAGGATCAACACAAGGAAGCCACAGTGGCCACTTTTCTTCAGTATTCTCTTAGATGTCCTAGACAGAACAATCAGGCAACACAAATAAGTAAATGTTGGCCAGTTAATTGGTGGAAAATAGATATGCAGGTGACAAGGACTTACTTTTGGAAAATCCTAAAGATTCTAAAGATGTTTTTGGAACTGGTGAACAAACATGCACATCTGAGCTCTACTACTGTAAGCTAATATTGTGCACAATCAGATGTCCTGTTTGTCACATGCACAAGGAAGCTAAGTAGCAAGGGAGACTCAATTTGGACCCATGTGTCTCCCTGGGAAAAGAAACGGAAATGCATATTAACAGGAAAAAGACTAATGAGAAAGGTCCCACAGTTAATGATCTGCCCTTCTGTGGAAGGTTTCAAATCTGTGCATCACACTGTGGATCAAAACTCTTTAGAAACCAGCTATGTTGACAGTGAAACATGGCAGACCCTCCTCCTGTCACTCTTCCTTGCTTCACATGGATGACTGCTGTGCTGGCACATTGGGCTTAGGTGAATGAATTAAACAAGGAATGTATTTGAGCATATGAGAGACTGTTTTTCTCAATGCAAACAATGCACCATTTCCACAGAAGAATCAGAGCATCCAAAAGTTTGAGGGCTCCTATTATTAGTTCCCATGAATTCTGAGGGATTGCTAGATATTGGAAACACAACCTAAGTAAGCACTTACAGCATTTGAATATTTGTTTATCATATTGATGTTTTATATTTCTTTTAAGAAAACCTCATTTTAAATCCTGGCCTTCCCTTGTACACATGTGTGAGTCTCCATATCAGCTGTACCTGAGTAATAACTAATCATTTTAACCACACAACTTTTTAACATTTTGTACATCACTGAGAAGGAAATGTCAGCATTCTACTGTGGGATGAGAGGAGAGGTCACTCACTCATCACGGCCAGGAAACTGGGAGACTGGTCTTCGAACTGAAGTGGTTGGAGACCTCACACTGATATTTTCCACTATCCATTTCCTTGACAGGACTTATTCTGAGTCCACACTTTGTTGGGGACAGCTTCATCCTCTCTGTGAAGTATAGAGTACTGTTATTGAAGATCCAACGGATGGAGACATCAGTGTCAGGTGAAATGCAGGTGAAGGTCACAGAATCACCTCCTGCCACTGTGGTGTCAGTGATTTGCACAAAGGGCTGTGTCACAGGCTCTGAAAAAAAGAGAATTATCAAATGACAGTAGTCCAGAGAATTCAACCAGATCCCCTTAGCTCATACTTTCTAAAGTTTCCCAGGGAGGGGGGATTTCTTTAGCTGTGGCTATATACATATTTTGGCTTTGTATCTCCTCACAGGAAATATGTTGCTCTCATTCAAACTCTGTTTTCTTGTCTCAGTTTCAATGTAATAGGAAACACGGTGCATGATCTTTGCTGTGTTAATCTCTTATGCTTACTTATGAGCAATGGCCTCACCTTGGGATGGAGGAGCTGCTGACATCATCGGTAACTGTTACTATTTACCTGCAGAAGACAATTCCCTTGCCTAGACCCCTGAAGTGAAGAAGAGTCTGAAGTGGCTGCCTCCTCTCTTTCCTTCATGCCTTGCCCTTCCTGTGAAGTCTCATAAGCCCATCAGAACAATAGGCTAATGGCCCAGACACCTGCCGACTGAGCATTAGAAGAAGGAGATGCACAGGTGACCTACCCAACTGAAGCTGTCATGGCAGTACACAGCTGGTTCTACACTTTATGGGTAGTCAATGCCATGACTTTTTAACAATCAACAAAGCCTTGTTCCTATCAGTTCTGACAGGAAATCAAAGAAAACAGTTGCAAAAAGCTCCCCAATGTCATCTTGATTTCAGCCAGGTACAAAACTTTGTAACTATAGCTTCCTGGTAGTCTCTGTGAAGACCCCATGTCTTCATCACTCAGGGACTGCCTGACTCCCACAGAGTCTTTCTGGGGACATGTGCATGGTGAAGACTCCAAGAGTCTGCACTGAGACTGACTTTCTGGAGCTGAGTTTATGCAGAACAGGTCCTCCTCACTGCATGTAAAGACAGGTCAGCAGTTATAATCTATTACGGTTTGTATACCTAAAGTGTGCCCTGCAGTGAGTACCCAAATCCCAGCAGGGGGCACAATAGTGGGGGAGAGAGATGGCACAGCCCAGTCCTGGCAGGTAGGTGTATGAAGTAGAATGAGCCACACCCAGCAGTCGGAAACCATAGAGAGTCACTTACTCTTTAAATAAAACTCCACATTTGCTCTTTCAATTTTGGAATCTTTGTTTAAAACTTCCAGTGTGTACATCCCTGCATCACTCTCAATGATATCCTGGAGCAGCAGGGATCCAGTTTTGTACACCTTCCCTCTTATTCTCTTTGCAGGCCCCCAGGAGATAGAAGGCTTGGTTCTGTTGTATACTATAAATTTACGGGCTGGGCTCCCATCATTTGATTTGAGCCAGGAAATTACTTGTGCTTCTTCTGGAAGATTATGAACTTGAAGAAGTACATCTTCACCTTCAGCTGCATACCGAGGCACCGGTTGGATCATGAGTTGGGAAGGAGTGAGAGCATTGCAGAACGCAGAAAGGGAATCTGGGAGGGAAGAGAGGAAAAAAAAAGACATCACATGGAGATCACTGTGCTTGGTGGAAAGATGGTGACCTCCATACTGAGCAGATGGATTCATCACTCAGCTTAGAACTGCACATGTTTGAGGGTCTATCCCACGTAATGAAGGCCAGAAACATGACCTTAACTTTCCAAAACTCCTCCTTTCCAAAAGTACCCTTGAAGGTATCATTTCGCTTGTATTGAACTGTCCCCATGGGTGTCTACTTGACTGCTACCTCACTGCCCTCAGTCAGATACTGCAAACACTCATGTACACTAGGTGAGATATGATGCCTCCATTGAACTCAACAGGCCTGGAACTTTCACTTTCTATGGCTTTTTCCTTCAGTTTCCTTTGAGGCATCACTCATACGATGATCTCACCTAATAGATGCACTTGTTATATTAGCAAATGACCCTTAGGTCTGGGGTTGTGTGGGGGCTAGGAGTAGTCTGATCTTCAAGACAGGCTTAGCTTCTTAAAAGGCTTGTGTAGATATTTCCCTGGAGAAGTAAGAATCTGGTCCCAGCTTAAAAGATTCAACTCTGTAGGCCTTCCCTGGAGAGAAACACCCCATCCCCTATTCCCACCCACCAAGCCCCAGAGACCCCAAGCAGCCTCCACACACTGGATACCATCCCCTAAAGCATCTGTAACCACTGCAACCTTCACCCAGACTGCCCCAGAGAGTTAAGTGTCTGGGTTCCTGCTTGGAAGGCTCAGATCTTTAGGCCCTTGCCCAGGCAGGAACATCCCATTCTGTCAACCATGCCAGGGCAGCCTCCACACATCTGCAACCATCCTCCACCACAGCTGTGACCACCGAAGGCTTCACTCAGACTGCACATGGAGAAGAACCCCGGAGTCTTATCAGCATCTACTAGACACATAGACCTGCCTGCACCCAGAGGAAGAGCAACCACCTAAGCCACAGGCCCTGCCTTCACCAAATAGAGGAGAAGGGACTCCCCTGAAGCATATGCTCCATCTGTAGACACTAAAGGAAAAGATGGGCAGACAGCAGTGTAAGAACATTCAAAATCAAGACCAATAGGGTACAGAACCTATTGGTCCTACAACAGGGAGAACTAAACATCCTAACTAAGAAGAAGCAGGAGAAAATAATGTTCAATATAACTTAATAAAGATGCTAGGAACCCTTAAAGAGGAAATTAAAAATTAAAAACCCCTTTATGATAAAGGTCTTGGAGAGATTAGGGATACAAGGTTCATACCTAAATATAATAAAAGAAATATACAGCAAGCCGATAGCTAATATCAAATTAAATGGAGAGAAACTCAAAGCCATTCCACTAAAATCAGGAACAAATCAAGTCTGTCCACTCTCTCCATACCTCTTCAATATAGTACTTGAAGTTCTAGCAATAGCAATAAGACAACATAAGGAGATCAAGGGGATTCAAATAGGAAAGGAAGAAGTCAAACTTTCGTTATTTGCACATGATATGATAGTGTATAAGCGACCCCAAAAACTCTAACAAAGAACTCTTACAGCTGATAAACACCTTTAACAATGTGGCAGGATACAAGATCAACTCCAAAAAATTAGTAGCCCTTATATACACAAAGAAAAAAGAAGCATAGTGGGAAATCAGAGAAACATCACCTTTCATGATAGTCACAAATAGCATAAAGTATCTCTAGGGTAACTCTAACCAAGGACGTGAAATATCTATTTGACAAGAACTTTAAGTCTTTGAAGGAAGAAGTTCAAGAGGATACCAGAAAATGGAACGATCTCCCATGCTCTTGGATTGGGAGGATAAACACTGTAAAAATGGCAATTCTACCAAAAGCAATCTATAGATTCAATGCAATCCCCCTCAAAATCCCAACAAAATTTTTTATGGAAAAAAAAACATGATAGCCAAAACAATCCTATACAATTAAGGAACCTCTGGAGTCATTACCATCCCTGACTTCAAACTCTATTACAGAGCTACAGTAATGAAAACAGCTTGGTATTGGCATAAAAACAGAGAAATCAACCAATGGAATCGAATCAAAGACCCAGATATTAGCCCACAAACCTATGAATACCTGATTTTCGACAAAGGAGCTAAAAGAATACAATGGAAGAAAGAAAGCATCTTCAACTGTAATGCTGGCATAACTGGATGTCAACATGTAGAAAAATGAAAATATATCCATATCTATCACCATGAAAAAACTCAAGTCCACATGGATTAAAGACCTCAATATTAATCTGACTACACTGAACCTGACAGAAGAGAAAGTGGGAAGTAGTCTGAAACACATGGGCACAGGAGACCAATTCTTATGTATAACCCCAGTAGAACAGACAATAAGAACAACAATGAATAAATGGATCCTCCTAAAACTTAGAAGCTTCTGTAAAGCAAAGGACACTGTCATTAAGACAAAAATGCAACCTAATGAATGGGAGAAAATTTTCACCAACCCTGCATCAGACAAAGGTCTGATCTCCAAAATATATAAAGAACTCAAGAAACTAGACATTAAAATTCTGAATAACCCAATTAAAAAATGGGGTACTGAACTGAACAAGAATTCTCAACAGAAGAAGTGCAAATGACCAAAGGATACTTAAGGTCATGTTCAAGTTCCTTAGTAATCAGGGAAATGCAAATCAAAACAATTTAAAGATACCATATTACACCTGTAAGAATGGCTAAAATCAAAAACACCAATGATAACCTATGCTGGATGATGGAGGAAGGTCATTGGTTAAGTAATAAAGAAACTGCTTGGCCTCATCAAAACATAGGTGGGAGGAGTAAACAGAACAGAATGCTGGGAGGAAGAGGAAGTGAGCTTAGACTCGACAGCTCTACTCTCTGGAGCAGAGACGCCATGCTCCTCTCTCCCGGGCAGACACACACGATGAAGCTCTTACCCAGGATGGACGTGGGCTAGAATCTTCCCGGTAAGTGCACCTAGCGGTGCTATGCAGATGATTAGAAATGGGCTAAATTAATATGTGAGAATTAGCCTAGATGAGGCTAGATAGAAATGGGCCAAGCAGTGTTTAAATAAATACAGTTTGTGTGTTGTTATTTCGGGCATAAGCTAGCCAGGCGGCGGGGTACTGGGGAAGCAGCCCCGCCGCTCCCTATTACAACAGCTGGAGAGAATGTGGACTAAGGGGAACACTCATCCATTGTTGGTGGGAATGCAAACTTGTTCAACCACTTTGAAAATCAGTGTGGCAGCTTGTAAGGAAACTGGGAGTCAACTTACCTCAGGATTCAGCAATTCCACTCTTGGAAACATACCTAAGAGATGCCCAATCCTATATGTTCATAACAGCACTATTTTTAATAGCCAGAACCTGGAAACAACCTAGGTGACCCTCAATGGAAGAATGGAAAAAGAGGGTGTGGCACAAATACACTTTAGAGTTTTACTCAGAGGTAAAAAATAATAACATCTTAAATGGAAATAGAAAACACTTTATTGAGTGAGATAACTCAAACCCATAAAGATGAATATGGTATGTACTCTCTCATTAGTGGATTCTAGCCATAAACAAAAGACATTGAGCCTATAGTTCGTGATCCTAGAGAAACTAAATAATGAGGTGAACCTAAAGAAAAAAATATATTTATCCTCCTGGATATGAGAAGTAGACAAGATCGCCAGGTAAAAGTTGGGAGCACAGGGGTGGGGCTGGGTGTGGGGAAGGGGAGATAGGAAGAGAGAAGGTAGAAGTAGAGGATTGGGAGGAGCTTGGGGGAATGGGATGGTTGAGATGGAGAAAGGGCAGATATAGGAGCAGGGAAGAAGATATCTTAATTAGTGGGGCCATTTTAGGGTTGGCAAGAGACTTGACTCTAGAGGGATTCCCAGGTGTCCATGGGGATGTCCCCAACTAGGTCCTTGGGCAGCAGAGGAGAAGGTGTCTGAACTGGCCTTATCCTATAGCAACACTGATGAATATCTTACATATCACCATAGAACTTGCATCTGGTGATGGATGGAGATAGAGACAGAGACCCACATTGGAGCTCTGGACTGAGCTCCCAATGTCCAGATGAAAAGCATAAGGATGGAGAACTTGAGCAATGAAGTCAGGACTGCAAGGGGTGCGTCCACCCACTGAGATGGTGTGATTGACCTAATGGGGGCTCACCCAGGCAAGCTGGAATGGAACTGAATGAGCATGTGATCAGACCCGACTCTCTGAATGTGGCTGACAATGAGGGCTGACTGAGAAACCAATGATAATGGCACTGGGTTTTAATTCTACTGCAAGTACTGGCTTTTTGGGAGCCTAGTCTGTTTTGATGCACACCTTCCTAGACCTGGATGGAGTGGGGAGGGCCTTGGACTTCCCACAGGCAGTACACCCTGACTTCTCATAGGACTGGAGAGAGGAGTCGGAGGTTAATGGGAGGAGAGGAGGAGGTGGAATATTTTAATAAATAAATTAATTAATTTAAAAAAAGAAATAGAGAAAAGGACAAACAAAAATTGGAAGAAATCAATAAATCTCTTGAAGAAACCAAAGGAAAAAATAAAAAAGGAAAAAATAATCAAACAGGTGAAAAAAATAGCTCAAACAGTAAGAGACTTGCAAGATGAAATAGAGGAAATGAAGAAAACACAAAAAGAGATAAGTATGGAAATGGAAAATCTGGGTAAATGAACAGAAATTACAGATACAAGCATAACCAATAGATTACAAAAGATGGAAGAGAGAATATCAGGAGTTGAAGATAAAATAGAGGAATTAGATTCATCAGTCAGAGAAAATGTTAAATCCAACAAATCCTTAACACAAAACATCTAGTAAATCTGGGACACTATGAAAAGACCAAACCTAAGAATAATAGGGATAGAAGAAGTCCAACTCAAAGACACATAAAATATATTCAACAAAATCATAGAAGAAAACTTTACCAACCTAAAGAAGGATATGCCAATGAAGGTACAAGAAGCTTACAAAACACCAAATAGACTGGACCAGAAAAGAAAG